ACGAGTAAAATACCACAATGGATATGTCTAACAACTCTTCAAGGAGAATACGTCAAATTTTCAACTTGGTACCAACTCACCCAAGGTCATTTCCTAAAGAGAAGTTCCGAAGAAGTAGTTAATGCCCACACAATCCGCTCTCAGAATCTAAACCTATACCTTGGTCTAGACCTTGAACAGAACTGATAACTCAGAGACAAGGTAATCAAGTTGACGTGGCCCTAAAAGGGCCGTTTCAGTCACTTTGGGCTTTTGACGTCCACGCTCATCGACTGAGGCAACTCACACAAACGTATGCTTCCTCTCCACTGTAAGCAGCGCGACTGTTGTGTGTTCGTCGCCCGCATTCTTTGCTCTTTATCCATTGTTGCTCATTTTCTAAATCGACCGTGTTCCACGCACATTTGCAGACACTGCAACAATTCGCTTTCATCGGTGATGCCGGATTGTTTTGACTTCTGCATTTAGCGTCCAGATTGTACTTTGCTGATGTCCTTGTTGTCAGTCTTCGGAACACAGCATGCTCCAGTGAGATAGCTAGGACTATTTCGTCGTCATCACTGTCGCCTACTCTACTCACTAAAACCAATTTCCGCTTTTCTATCGAACCGCTTGTTGAAGCTACTGGTGGATTGTCGGTTCTCACCTTGACGCTCGTAGAAGGAAGACAGGTACAATTACTCTCCTTAGTCTGTTTTGCCGACCCCTGTCTATGGAATAATATCTGGATGTCCGGGTACTTCCTTCTCATAGTTGCTACACGTCGAAGTTGATTTCATTGAAAACTATAATGCACTATACCTAAACTATTCAAAGAGAAGCCCAGCTCTTGAGGACATCCTCCGTTTAAGCTAACTTTGGTGTCTTGCTTGAGGTCGTAATTACCGCAGTGGAGTTCGGATCTGAATGCCTTTTGCTCCGATTTATAATCCACCTATCTGGAATATCCACATTAATTAGGTCGAATAGCCTGGCTTTATACAAACAGGGCTACAACCATTGCGCATAACACTCACACTTCGTTTCCCCCTTGCCCTTACTATCCACTACCGTGAAGAACACTCTCTTGTGAACAATGCGTTCAATCTCACATGACTTCCAATTATTTAATAATATATTCCGCGCAAATGGTGTTACTCGTATGAGCAGCGGTTTAAACGATTGCATGCCGCTGGGAATCGGACATCCCCTCATGGAATCTTCAGCAAGGTGAATTCCATGCGTCATTTCCATTGACCTTACTCGTTGTAGTACTTTCTTAAATACACCCACTAATAAAGGCCTAAGAGACAAGCCTGTCTTGAGGTGCCTATTTTCCGTCTCCACTCGGTTAGTAGTTGGGTTTCCTAAAGCCAACCTAGTCCTCACGGTATACTTTGCCCACTGCTCTCGGTATGGTAACGAATTTCGCGAAAATAAACACTTGCTTCTGTGCTAAGACTTCTTACGGCGGCTAGGAATCTACCAAACGATAACCCACAATCACAGTACACCATGTTCCGCATCCATTGAAAGATTCGCCGCTTTTCGAACGTTGCATTACCAGATAGCTGGTTACATTTCTTCATCATATCCCCAACCAGATGGAAACGACAGAATATCACATTAAAGGACCAAAAGTATTTTGAAAACGCGTTGTACTGAGCCGAGCTGCGATCAATTACTATTGTCTTGCATTGTGTAAAGGCTGGGCACATAATATTAATAATAATAATGTATATTTCACGAATCCCGTGAAGCATGCACAAGGCATGATCATATGTTCAAAATAATCATATTTACAACGACAGTACAAGTATATAGATAGACTACTTGGAAGACGTACATACTGGAGATGGTAGGAGAGCAGAACGAAAACGCTTTGTAAACGGAACATAAAGCGGACGAGGTCACAAATGCTGGTGTGGAGGGTGTAAGAATGTGCTGTATATCAATCGGAATTGAAGTAACTGTTAACCAGTTAGTGAGGGGATTCGACGTGCGGCTCTAATACTTTCATGCTAGATCTATAGCCTTCATCACTCTCGTTGGTCAAGATAGCGTAGAAAAAACTTCTACCTAAACCGGTGTCGTCTACAAACATAGCATGACAAAGCACGTACCCGCCACAGTTTAGCTGGTGCGTGGCGTCCGCGAACAAAACATCATTAAGCCTGGCGACGCAGTGCCGCATAATCTAAGGAACAGAATACAAGTTACGAACGACGCTTTCGTTCAATTCTATCCTTACCTCTCCCTGATTTTCCAGCATATCCCGATCTTCCATCGCATCGCCGCGTGAATCCGAATCAGATCTTCTTCGACGTATGGATCTAATATCCGCCGTAGTTCAAGGTCTCTTGAACCTGTGTGTGGCGAAATCCCTTAGCTCGCGAGTACTTCTAAAATGTGTTCATCAATTTACGCACTTCAGCTTCCTTTTTTCTAGATAGATGGCCATTACTTATATACAAACCTCGCTGACCCACATGGAAGTCATGGTTGTGCACCAGACAAAGTTTCATCACTCATTACTCCGACCTGACAGTGCGAATTCCAACGAATGCGGGACAATCGATATTTTGCAGCCTTAAACGGGTGAAATAAATTAGAAATGAGAGCCATAATTACCTGGTGGAAGTTGCTCCGCGCTTTCGATGATGTACACAACAATATTTCATGAAATAATACGTAAAACCGTCGGACAGGGTCAGTTTCCGACCAAACTTTCTCTCGTATCGGTTGTTCGGATGTCATTGAAGCATAAGCATAGGAGGAAGTACTGGTAACCATTTGGAATTCACGGAAGTCCTCCAAGAAACCGTCCGGCTATCCACAACAACTTTTTTACCGACCGTATCGTCAACGTGAGCCAAGGTTGATATAAACGTGGAGGTGATCGTCGCCATAAAGTTACGGTATTTATACTTTCCGGACAAAGTCAATTAAGGTTAATTAAAACAAATTAAATTTGAACAAATCACTTAGAATTAGCCAAAAGCAAAATCTGTTTAATTTCAGCTGAATTCGTCATCAATGTTTCTAAAATACATATAAAATTCGGTCGTTTTTAGAAAACTTAATAGTTGGAATGCCACGCTACTACCCTGAGAGAGGCCTTGAACCACATGAGCTTTTCTCATTCACAGACCAATTCTATGACATTTGGTGTTCGGGGGCTACCTTGCTAACCTAAAATTGTTCTGCACGTGGTGATATTTAGCTTCCGCGTGGGCTTTAACATGTTTATAAATGGCTCCGCGCAATATTGCAGGAGCAAGTTCATATTCCTTCCTGACGAAACTTCGCTGCTCTTTTTCAGCAGCATAAGTACTCTCTCCATCAGCTCAATCTGTTGAACCATTGTCCGGTAGTTAGGCTGAGCCCCAGGTTTAACCACAGTTTTCTTAGCCTTTAAAGTCTCATGGTCTGTGGTTCAACCTCCCTGTTTTGGTTTCCTGCTCCTCTCATTTGAGCACTTTTATTTGGGGACGACGCAGATATAACCCCTACCGGTTTCTTTTTATTTTCCTTATTCTCTGGGGCTACTGATGCCTTCAGAATTCTCCTGAACCCCTCGGCTAGTGTTGCGCAGTAGTAACAAACCTACTTAAAGGACCTGTGCTCCAGGTGGAATTGATACGCTCTTTCGCTCATTTGAGAGCATGTTTGGTGGTACCACTCTCCACAGCCGTCGCATTGGTCCCACACGCGGTGGAACCTTTTGTTTAAGTTATTCCAAGTTAAACAAAAATGTTTGGATAAAAACTTCTCTATATCTGTAAGAGTAGACACGGGGTTAAACAGAATAATAATAATACGCCTTACTAAACTCAAAAATAAAATGCTTTAGGCCTGCGAAACACCAAAGTTGCTAGTAAAAGCTTTGTGATCTTTGACAGATCGCGAACGATACTGGTAAACAGATAATTACTGAAACAGTGATTGGAGTGAAATATCTACTGTTATTTCAATTGTACCGAACAGGAAGTTTAAACCAGATAGAGTACATGGGAACATCAAACCGCACGTAATAGGCAATGGCGCTCAGGAAGACGGAACCTTAGATATGACGACAGGCTGGAGAGGCTTGGGCTCTTCTCGCTGGAGAGAAGAAGAAGAAGGGGACACCTGATTGAGGCATTCAAACTCCTAAAGGGTTTGGATGACATTGGGGAAGAAGGGAGACCACTACTACCTCCCAGCGAGAACCCAATGTTAAGGGGTAATGACCTTAAGTTAGCTAAGGTCAGAGTTTCCACCCGTATAAGGCAGCAATCGTTTGCCATAAGGGTGGTGAACGACTGGAACAGGCTACCCAATGAAGTAGTCAATTTCAGCTCGATGAAGAGCTTCAAGACCCGTCTGGACGCCGTATGGCAGGGCCTTTTCACCTAAGGAGCCGCCTAACCAAAGTGATTGGCCGGAAGCTCCACTCCCTCCTTACCCCCGACCTTCTCTCACTTACTCTCTCAATCTTTAGTCATTACTAATACCTTCTATTCTGTTCATACCATATCCCCATGCCGTCACCATCACCTGACCACCTACTTGCCACTAGAACTTCTCTTTCCTTTCGGCCGGGGTTGTAACTTGGTTGATGCCAGTGTCAGGGTCTGCTGCCCTGATCCATTAGGCGTGACCGGAATGTGGCGCGAGAGTGGGAGGTCAACACCCAACTCTCCTGAAGTTTTTGATCGCAAAATTGAAAAAGAGTCATCTCCCTCTTCCATCTGTCGTAGCATCGGGGGATCTCTGGAGCCCACCGCTGCAGGAAACCGGACTAACTGGTACACCGCCGTCAACATCCTGGAGCTGAACTGGCAATGTTGTGGTGGTTTGAATGACACACAGTTACCGGAGATAGGTTGAAGCATTCCTAATAACGTACAAATTAGGGAGAAAACATGGTTATAATAAGGAAACCAAGAACGATCTTGCTAGGTGCAGGTAAACTGAAGTTTGTTTTACTGCGCCCCGGTTCCATTGTTGAAGGGCAACTTTGGGTCAAACGCGCTATCATGTCTGACATTGATAAACTTAACATAGATAGTGTGATAGCCCGTTTACTCGAAGGTATTTTCTTCTTTTTCTTCTTAGTTTTGAATCTCAGTTCGTGGGTCCCGCCCAGGAAAAAATGTTCAACTTACCGAAGCTGAAATTCGTGCCTTGGCACTGAGATCACGTGAAATCTTCCTAAGGCAGCCCATTTTATTGGAGCTCGAGGCGCCTTTGAAAATATGCGGCGATATTCACGGCCAATATTACGACCTCCTTCGTTTGTTTGAGTATGGTAGTTTTCCCCCAGAGGCGAATTACTTGTTTTTGGGTGATTACGTCGATCGTGGCAAGCAGTCGCTTGAAACTATTTGTCTCCTGTTGGCGTACAAAATTAAATATCCGGAGAACTTCTTCCTCTTGAGAGGTAACCATGAGTGTGCTTCTATCAATCGGATATACGGTTTTTATGATGAATGTAAGTTGAATCTCTCTGTAGGTGAATTTCTTAGGCAAGCGTCGTTACAATATCAAACTATGGAAGACGTTCACTGATTGTTTCAATTGTCTTCCAATTGTTGCTATAGTTGATGAAAAAATATTTTGTTGTCATGGAGGTTTGTTTGTTTTTTGTGGTATCTCATTAATTACAGGATTATCCCCCGATTTGCATTCTATGGAACAGATCCGCCGTATCATGCGGCCCACTGATGTTCCTGAGCAGGGTCTTCTTTGTGATCTCCTCTGGTCTGATCCAGATAAAGATATCACGGGCTGGGGTGAAAACGACCGCGGTGTCAGCTTTACTTTTGGTGCAGATGTTGTCACTAAGTTCCTTCATAACCATGACCTCGATTTAATTTGTCGAGCCCACCAGGTAAAGCCGTAAACAAAAATCGATAAATCCCTGAAGGTTGTAGAAGACGGGTATGAATTTTTCGCCAAACGGCAGTTGGTAACCTTGTTCTCGGCACCCAATTACTGTGGTGAATTCGACAATGCCGGTGCCATGATGTCTGTGGACGAGTCCCTGACTTGTTCCTTCCAGGTTTGTCTTTGAAGTTACTTTTATTTCTTGACTTAAGATCCTGAAACCGGCGGATAAGAAGAAATTCAACCTCGGCCCCCTTAATCCGGTTTGGCCTGTCACTCCTCCAAGAAATGCGAAGCTGAAGGATAAGTAGCGAGGAGACCATTCGTGTGAACGAGCTTCGGGAATTCATTTTACGGTACCCGACCATTCTGGGTGCCATGTGTTTCCGAACGTGTACAGGTTTGAAAATTATTTTGCTACATGTATTGCGATGCAACCTCAGACACTAAGATTCCATTGCCTATTAAGTTATTTCTATTTTCCCTTGCAAAATCTCTTATAACTTTGTCTTCATACCCATCTTGTAAACTTGTTATTGGGTGTCTGTACACCACAAATTTTCTTTGTATTCTCTCCCTATTCACAAATGAGATGTTTGTTAAGCTTCGTCACATTGTACAGATCAGATTGTTTTAATGCTACTTAGGTCGTCCGGTGTCCGCATCGTTCCTATCTCTTTACATTCATTTCTCTGTGATGAACCCACCGGAATCTATCATCTCAGATGCATTCTTTCTGGGCGATGTTAAACCGTCCTCGCACGCATGAACTTTCTTTGTTGCTCGTCAGCTTATTCTTCTCGACATGGATAGCTGGCTCATCGGTTACCTTCTGACTAATAAAAGATCTGTCCAGTCCTGCTGCTTATCTTTACAAAACCGTGCCCACCTACACAATTTCTGGGCTACAGTGGGTCAGCAGTCTCGTAAATTATCTTTTTTGTCACCTTGATATCCTTTGCGCGTTTGAAGGTATTCAATTAAAAAGGTATGTGACCTCCACATTGGGAATCGGAAGTAGCTCTAACCGACATCGCAGCTGAACGTCGTTCTTAGATAGCCATCGTCAGAGCTAATTCATCACGCGGGAATTAGTCGCATAAAGGCAAGTGAGATGCCCGCGTTGTTCCTGGTCTGATGTTCTGTTGATAATGAAGCGCAGAACGTAGCGTGGTGGTATAACATGCTGTCTCATGTACCTTTTGTTTTGTTATTCTCTTTAAGGGGTTTAAACTGAATAATAAGTAGTGTAAATACATTTCTCAGATCTTGGATGACCCATGCATGATGCCAAACGGAATCATTCATGTTCATCTTGATCTCGGTTGAGTAGGCGGACACCACAAACGGTTCGGAGTTATTTTCACGGTTCGGCGCTTTCAAATTAGTTATTTATTAATGGGCTTCATTTGAGTTACCACGGGGTTTAGTTTTTAAAAAAGTTCACTGCCCTCCCAGTTGGCAGCAGTGCACTTCTCAATAAATTGGTCAAGTATTTTCTGATAACCATTCCAGTCCAATTTTCCAGGACGCAAAGGCCTCGGCTTTATGGTTGTCCTGATTCTAGCTGGACCCCGTCGCGAGACCGATCGAGCTGTAAGGTTGTCTGGCTTGCAGCATGGTTGATAGTTCCGAGGATGCAAGATTCGAATGAAGTAGTTGACGCGCCTGTTTTCGGCAATGCTACTAAAGAGAGGGAAACAGACTATCTCGGTGTGTCGGTGAGAGACTTATCTATACTTAGGCGTAAGCGTTCCGGCGTGTGCTTGCGCACCACGTCAATCGCGATGGGTGGGGAGGAGAAAAAGAGCTTATTTCCGTTATCTTCTGGGTTACCTGTGGAAAGGTCTCGATCCATACTTGATCTGATTCCATCTCCAGAGCGTGCACTGTGTTTAATGGAGTGAGTCTTTCTGGAAGGTGATTCCAGAGGTTTATCACCGTCGTACAGCAAGATACAGAGAAGCGAGGTTCACTGATCGCTGCCAAACTCGCAATGCATATGCACTAGGGTTTAATGGACAGGTACTACTAGGGTGTCCAGCCACTACGCAGGAGAACGATTAGGGTCCTCAACCAAAGCCTTTAGTTCTGACCTAGCCGCAAGGCAGCGGGTTAAGCAAATTGGAGGCCCATTTACTTGAATCAATTACTCCTCCACTATTTTTTACCGACTGAAACAAGTT